AAATAGTGTTATTGGAATCCAGGACAAGACCTTATTACTTTTCTAACATTAAAAAAATATGGATATTTTGATGGCAAAAACTAATCTCAGTGTAATAAAACGCCAACTTGCCCCGATATATTCAGAAAAAAAATTGTCTTTCTATAAGAAATTCATGAAAAACGCTTTGAGAGCTAAAGAAACACTTTTTTTTTTCTTTTTCTTTTTTTTTAGTCCAACATAACCTTAAAGGAATTAATGCTGATACTGGCACTTACATTTTTTTGTTTATAAACCTAAATATAATTGTTAACTAGGCTTATTAATTTTTTAACTTTGCTTTTTTAATTTTTCAGTTAGCTTTTTACATTTTCTTTTTGGGACTTGTTAACTTTTTTCCCCCCAACTTCATTTAAAGTAGGTTATATATCATTCTAGGGCTCATCTAATTGGTCAAACTGCAAAATAAGATGTCCAGCCATGTAGCAGTATCTTTGCTGAATGGCTGGATATAGATCTAGTGCTTCTAGACCTCACTGAGGGACGGGGCTCTATCTGTAAGGGATGTTTAAGTGATCAAAAATGGCAATTGCCCAATAAAGGGTTAAAAATACTGGAGTCAGAGGGTTATTAATCAGTAAACTGGAGGTTAAGAGCATTTTCAAAGGGAAAATTAAAGAGAAATGAAGATATGAAAAGAAGATGGTTCTATAAAGGGTGGAGAAATTAGAAGAAATATTGGAAGAAACAGAATTCAGGACAGGATGACTAGATTAAGGTTGGTTCTGGCAGGACATAATTCACTATTATTGACAAAACATGAGAAATGATGTGAATTTAAAACAACAAAGTAGTAGTTATGTAGAACTGTAGGAAACACCAGAGGCAAAGAACAGAACTAACAAGGAGTCTTGAACAGGAAAAGGTATAACTTGTTTTAAAAGTACGTTTGATGAGAAAAAATTTTTAATTGGTTTGGGGAAGATAATATAGTTTACCGGTGGGTGGCAGTAATGCACCAAACTGTTGTTTACTAACCCGCCATTACAACTCAAGAAGAAGAACGTTTAACCCTTTGATAGAGATGAAATAATTCTAATTTTTTTCATCCATACGTAGAGGAAGGATTTGGATTTAACTAAATATTTTAATGTCTGTGATTAAAAAATATATTTATTTTCATTTTTTAGAGAATGATTCAGCTCCTATGGAAAGCGACTAAAAAAAATAATCCATCTTTATAATCTTCAAAGAGGACGGGGAGATTCTTCATTAGGTCCACTGCTCGGTATCAACTCAAATAATCCAGGTAGGTTAATCTGTCTGAATGAAAACAGATTAAGATATTTATTCTGAGGACCCGGAGACGGTGGAGGACAGATAAACGTCCTGGGCTAACAAGTTGTGAGATTTCCAGCATTGTTTTAAATAGTGACAAAAAAAAAAAACTAAAATAAAATTATTTTTAAAGAAAATGAACAGACTCTGTCCCTTAAAAATGTTGGCTAGTTTGTTGTGTCTGTATAATTTCTACATGTTTATCAATAGTGCTGGATAGCTTTTATTTTTTTATCAAACCATATGGGGCTTCCATTAAAAACATCGATTATCTTTTTAAACAGTGATTATCGATGACGTCATGGTGGTTCTCAACAGTTTTTGGCAGCCGCGCGCCCCCAATTACATAACATGTAGGCCTAGACCACCTGCATTAAATATTGTTTTAATAGGCTTCTTTTAATTATACTGTTTTTCAGTTATTATTAATTGTACATTGATAATGTTGTCATTATTGATAGGCAGCTGTCTGAATCTATCTATCTATCTATCTATCTATCTATCTATCTATCTATCTATCTATCTATCTATCTATCTATCTATC